TGAAGGGAGAAGAACAAATGGAGGATCCTTATGATTATAACAGAAATGAGGAGTGCTTTCTCTTTTCTGCAAGTAAAGGGACAGTGCAGCTTCTATGATTTGGATGATCTCTAAACTTTTCTCTTTTTCAATTGTTTTTAATTTTAGTGCTGATCGAATCTCTCAACAAGAATGAACAATCAGCCAATGGCCAGTCCAAATCCAGGGAGTCCACAAATGCCCACTTTAGGAAATTGAGTGGAGACTTCCCATCAGCCAATGGGGAGGCAGGTGTGGAGACTAGCAAAGGTTACACCCAAGATCAGGTGGATGCAGTTAAGAGGTAGGCAGTTGCTGCTTCATTTTTCATAGGGCAGAATAGTTTGTCTAGTGATATTAATGATCTATCCAGTGGTGTTTGATTTTATTGCATTATATCAGTCTGTTCTCCAGGGTGTTTCAAAGACTTTTAAAAATTTCAGAAACATGGATTTTTTTAATGCCTGGAGAAACAGTTTGTGATGCATGTTTCTATAATGATTGATTTTGAATTATTTGAGAATTTTGGGTAACTGAAAGTTAACATAAGTGTTAGATGGGGTGCAACAGACCTGGCTGGAACTGGATGTTGTGTGCATAAGGCTTTCTCCCATCCCCCTATATTTATGCCTTGTACAGTGAGGCTCCAGTTTTTAGGCACCTTAATACAGATCATTAATATTAAAAACACTCTGCCAGTGCCCATCAGTGCCTGCTATTATTCTAGTCCTAAGTCTCTCTTGAGAGCCTGATAATGGTATTGGGTGGTGGTTTCCCATTCTACCACACTTTCATGTTGAGGTATGCTTAGTAAAACTGCTAAAATTCTCTGGAACATGTTTACTTGGCATGTGCAGTATATTGGCTGGGGGGGGGGGCCTCACCCTGTAAATACTAAGAGCAGATAGACATAATTGTAGTCTTTTTAAATCTATGGTGTATTTGAGCAGCACAAAAGCACTCATCTTGACCTCATCTTAGCTTCTGGGTATTTTTACTACTTAAACCATTTTTAAGACGAGTCCATTCTGTGACCTATATCCTATTTTAGCTTTGAATTTTTACAGTCTAAGTTGCGGGGGGGGGGAGAGACAGCTACTTGTGGAATTGCTAAAGTGCACTGAGCAACAGTAGAATGAATCAGGTCACTATTAAGAGAGGGCTAAATGCCCTGAACAGGCTTTTTGACTTCCTGTGGAAACCTTCAACGGGCTATTTCAAAAGTCAGTTTGGTCTGAGAATTAACCAATTCTGAGAGAACTGGTTTTTTCTCCCCCAGATCCTGTCCCAGTGTTTAAGGGATCAATCTTGCTATCTGTCCCTGTTGTTGTGGGGCTCTGAAACCATGGACTCAGCTTCCCCTAGGACCTGAATTTGTTGAGTTTCAGGGCATAATGCAATGTTTATTAGTTTAATCAAACCTTTTCTTAAATTAACTCCTCAGGAGTGCAAGGCAATCTTGTACCACTTGAGGGTGCAGTCATTTTACTGAGTTGACTCATTTGTTCTTTAATGACTGTAGATACCTGGTGGTAAAGGCACAGGGTAAACAGATATGTGAAATAAACTAAATCACACCAAGGAATCAAAACTGAGTAAACTAAAGTTCAGAGGACAGTATTAACTGGAATTGGGATTTAGGGATGCTGAAAAGTTGATGCATACAAAGGTAAGAAGTCTCCTTATCTCAAACTAACTGCCCCTGTCACCTCATTTCTCTTAACTTCTAGGGTAAAGCAGTGTAAAGATTACTATGAAATTCTAGGAGTGAACAGAGAGGCCTCTGATGATGATCTGAAAAAAGCTTACCGGAAACTAGCACTGAAGTTCCACCCAGATAAAAACCATGCGCCTGGTGCTACAGAAGCATTTAAAGGTAAAAGCATATTTCCTATTTCTTGAATTTAACTACATCATAAGCTGAAGGTCATGTATTGGGGTGACCGTCTAAGTGTAACCTCAGCCAAAAGATATTACATTGATAAAAGAAGTCTGATGCATGGTGTCTGCGTGCGTGCATTAAACAAAAATAAAGAGGCCCTGTAAGCCAGTGGACAAACTCACCAGCCAGGGAAGTCCTTTGTACAGTTTTCAGCACGCAATTACATACTGATGCTTAGTTGAATCTTCTTCATCTTATATTCTCCTTGGAGACAATAACTCCCCTCAACCTTCCCAGTTTTAAAGGGACAAGCCTTAGAACAGAGAGCAAGATTTGTAAATGCAGTTAAGGTCCAGCAACTTGTTACAGACTTGTAGGGTTGTTTAGTAGAAGAATCAGCAGTTGGGACAATAACCTTTGTGTCTTATAATTACACGTATCAGGAAGTGCCTAGTATAAATGCACACAGTTAACTGAAGTTATCACAGGGAGGTGGGGAGAAGATTGGAAAAAGTATCGGGCAGAAAATTCCTCTTCTGAACTGGCATCAGAGAAACCAGTTGCATAGTTTCAATTCTTCCACCCAATGAGCTTTCCAAGCAGTCCTCTGATAAGACTTCAGATTTCTCAGTAGACACTTAAATACCACAGTTAAACAAAAATATCATAAATAGGATTACTATATAAAAACCCCAAATGACAAACTCAGTTGTGCACGTGACTCTATTTTGTAACTAACACCAGACACGTTTTAAGTTACTGTGGATTAAAAAAAAAAATTAACTAAATGTAAAGATCCTGATTCTCAGTTCTTATGTAGGCAATGTAAAGGGAAACTTTCTTGGTAATAAGATCTGTTAGTTTGCCAAGAGAAGCCCTGTCACTTTGAATATTTAAAACTAGACTTAAACGTAGCGCTAGAAAACAATATAGAGAATAAAACTGATTTTTTCCCACTCATAAGGGCTAAATTACTGAACTTTCACCTCTAATTTCCAAGCTTCTTAACATCTATATTTGCATTATTGTTGCATCTTAATTTTATCCCTTATGTAAGTGTTAGTGGAAAGAAGTAGAAAGCTTACACAGGATTTTCAGGGGACTTTGCAAAGTGAGCATCAATACTCAAAAAATCAATTGTGGCCCAGGTAAATCCGTAGTGTTCTGTGAGGAACGAGTTTGACTTCTTATGTAAATACCTGTATGGTGTCACTATGGGAGAATCAGTAGTGTTCTGTGAGGAATGAGTTTGACTTCTTATGTAAATACCTGTAGAAAAGGCAGTGTGCTTTAAAAAAAAACCTTATTTTTGTGTGCATTAAATACTCAATAATATCTCATTAGACAAGCCTGACAAAACAAATACTTGAGAAGGTAGCGTAGCTTACTTACAAGGCTGTTTATTAGAAAATATTCTCTCAAATATTAAGTCTAAAATTGAAGTGTAGCTCTACTCTGAAAAACCACTGTAGTTAGGGTTGCCAGGTGTTCGGTATTGACCCAGACAGTCCGGTGTTTTCACCTCCTGTCCAGTAAAAAAAAAAATTTTCAGAAAATACCGGACACCTAAAATGTCTGGTATTTGCTGGGGTTTTTTCCCCTTGCCAGGAGGCAAAAATACCGTACACCTGGCAACCCTACGACACACTCGGCAACTGGGCCCAGCCCCCGACCTTCCCCCTCCCAGCCCCTGACACCCTCTTTTTACTCCCTCCCCACCCCACCCCCTGACCTCCTGCTTACCTGGTTCTGCAGGGAAGCTGCATTCTGGCTTGATCAAGAGAAAATAAAATGGCCACCGGCAAAAAGCCTAAAGACCAAGGAGAAGCAATGCCTCCCCTGGATCTTAGTGCTCAACTTCTCCCCTGTTCCTATCCCTATTCTGACTCTGCACACACTGAAAGGGCCATGCTGGGTTTTGTTTTGGTTTTTTTGGCGGGGGGGAAGGGGGGAGTTCTGTATTTTTGGTTAAACCATCTGGCAACCCTAACTGTAGTAAAAGTTTCCTGGGATTCCATATTTATTTTATTTCAGTGAGATAATTTCAAAATTACCTCATTTATTTCATAAAGTGTTTGTTTTTTTCCCACCTGACAACCTTTCTAACTTAGGACTTGTACATACTAGTGATGTGATACTGTAAATGGTTAGCCAATGAACCTGAGTTCATCGGTTAACCTTCACAGTTACACACAGGCCTCCCTCACCCACCTCGCATTGCTGCCTCTGATACAGAGGCGGCAGGGAGCTGGTGTGTGCAGGGAGCTTTTTAAGCTGGGCTGTAGCAGTTGCTAAAGGACTGTCTGCATGACACCTCCACACTCCTGCCTCTGGATCAGAGGCAGCTGTGCAGGCTGGAGGCAGGCGGGAGCCAGTGCTCCTGGGAGCCAGCTTAAAACCTGGCTCCCTGCATGTACCATCTCCTGCCTGCTACACTGCCCACCCCCACACTTGCCTCTGATACAGAGGCAGCAGCATAGGGAGGAGCAGGTAGCTCAGAGGGAGCCAGTACACATGGGGAGCTGGTTTAAAAGCTGTCTGTCCATGTGCACTCCCTCCCAACTCCTTCCATCCACTTTCCACCCCTCGCTACCTCTGATGCATGTAACTGTGGCTTATCAGTTAACTGTGTACATGGATACATGTTCGCATCCCTATACCATAGGCACAGCTGGGTGGGGCCAAGTTTGCTAAGGTTTCAGAGGCTGCTGGGGACAATTTTGTCCTCTAGCATAAACTAGAGCAACCCCAAAGGCAACTAGTTCATGCCTGGGTTGTAGCAGTTGCTAAAGGACTGTCCAGCAGCCCAGAATAGCCACCTGCACTCTGACCCTTCCGTTTTCCCCTATGCCACCCAGGGAACTCCCACCTGCCAAGAGAATATTTCTGGTGATGTTGGGATTAGCCTCAAGCTGTTTGCCTGTGCTTTTAACAGCAAAACAATTGGCCAAAGATGCCAAAATTGGGACCTGAGAAACGAGTTCCATCCGTGGTGTCTTTCTCACTTGTGATCACCAGTCATAAAGACTCTGCAAGCAAATTATATTCTTGGTGCCACCTGTTGAAATCAAAGTGAAGCCAATGGGATTGTGTAAATGTTACTGAAGACATAATTTAATCTGCAGGGTTAGGGATGTTAAATTTTGATTAATCAGCTAATCAAGTAGTGGATGGAAATTCCATCCACTACTCGATTAGTCGATAAAGGTAGGGTGGGACGCTCACTATCCCGGTTGTGCCTCTGCCTTTTAAATGTAGTAAGAACTTGCATTTAAAAGGCAGAGACACAGCGGGGAATCCGGGGCACGTGGGGGGTTCCCACTGCACCAGCTCTGCCTTTGAAATGTAGCAAGAGCCTTGTGGAGCTCTTGCTACATTTAAAAGATGGAAGCACAGCAGTTGGACCAGTGCAAGTGGGGACTGCTTCAGTCCCAGCTCACTCCATTTCCTGCTGCGCCTCTGCCTCCCCTGCCATCCTCCCCACCCCCCGTGCAGAGCCAGTTCTGGGGGAATCAGCTTAAAAGCTTTTCCTTTGCTACTTCTGATACAGTAGCAGCAAGGGGCAGGGAGCAGCTAGTCTAGTAGTGACTCAACTACCTGATAAGTCTATGCTTATTGGGTAGTTAACTAGTCACTTACATCTCTATTGCAGTCTTTAATACTGATGATTTTGGATGACAAGAAAATGACCAGGCTTGATTCTGAGTTCAGGAGTTCTAGTGGTGATTTTCGGAGCAATATTAATAAGGCATCAGTGAGACCAACATGGGACTTCAAAATGCTATTTTTATGTGTTATTTTTCAAAGTGGAACTTTGTGTCATGTCCAGTTTCAGCAAGCTAGGAAATACATGAGGTTCCTATGGGGATTGGGGAGTCTATTTTGAAGTGTACACTACTCTTATTTGAGATTAGGGTATGTCTTTAAAATTGGGAAAAAATTGAGGAGCAAAAGTCAGAGGGAGGTGTTGTTCAATCCTCTTTTAAGTCTTAAATCTATGACTGATAAGTGTGTTGCCATTAGCAAATAGTGGGTTGAGTCTCTAGCTACCTGAGAGAGACCTTTTATGCATTGGGTTCAGATCAAATCTGCATGTGTATGCAGATACCCACGTAGTGCCTGTCATAAACCTTTCTTCAACAGTTTGCTCTTCAGTCCTTGAAAAGTGTCAAAAGGCAGGTTTCTTCACCAGTAATCTTAAATAATCATCTTTACTGAAGGCTTAGGCATATTTTACATGTCAAAACTGTGTGTTAAGCAAGGTGCACTTTATCCTCCATTACAGGGCTATCTACTGTCAGGTTATCTCTCCTCAAAGCCATGTCTCATTGATTCTTCACTCCATTATGCTTCTGATGTTAGCACCCTTGTCATAAAGCCCATTAAAGCCAAGCTGTTTGGTTCCAAAGGATGAAGGAGAAAATATGCAGGGCTCTGGAGGTTTCTTAATTTTTTTTTCTTACACTGATCTATTAGCTGATGCCTTGACATTCATCTTCCCAGTGACATCTGATAAAGTGCTTCTGGAGTGCTTCTCTTACTCAGTAGTTCAATAGCCTACACTGTTCCTTGGCAGTCCCTTTGCTAGCTTTGGATGACTATAAAAATAATTTAAACCTGATCACTTTAGCTAAACTGAGTTGTAGTGAGATAGAAGCAATACATTGCAAAACACTTTTTGGGAACATGATTGCTAATATGTCTTGGGTTTTAATGTCAATAAAAATGCATACAGGAAACAAACCTAGACTTCAAATTCTTCTATTTGAGTTACCGACCAATGTTTCTTGCACCTTAACTTATACTGGCATAACTTTCCCATGTAGATAGGCCTTCTTGCTGCTTTGGCTACATGAACATTAATAGAAAAGGAAGAATTACATGAATCTATCTGAAGGAGAAGACTCATGGGGCTTATACTGAAAAATCCGTTGACAAATGGAAGTTTAGAAAGGAAAGAAAATGCAAATGTAGAAGCAAATGTTAAACCTGCAAGTAAGCATTCTTCCAGATTGGTTACAGTGAAGCAAGAGTGGAAGGCGGACATCATCCATAAAGGAGACTGGGAGTTTAGTTTCAATATTTTTCCATTGTCACAAAGCTGTATAAGCTGTTCTTCTTAATTGTCCCCCTTTCCTCTAGCATGTGAAAATTTCTGAGACCCTTAACCTGCATGGAGAAGACCTTTACCTAGAATTTCATTAAGATATTTATGTGCTTTGGACCTTTCAGTGATTTGAGTTATGTTCTGACTTCTTTAAAGTTATGTTTTTGTACAGTAAACTTGACTCCCATGATGTCATTTTTAAAGTAAATTTTCCAAGAGTCATGCTTCAGTTGTAGTTTTGCATGGCTCAAGAAGTTTATCTGAAAATTAACAGAAATGTGTAGGTAGAGGAGGAGATCTGAGGAAGAGCTCTGTGTCACTCAAAAGCTTGCCTCTTTCACCAACAGCTGTTAGACCTGTAAAAGATATCATCTTACTTGCCTTGTCTCAAGTAAAAAAAACAAACAAAACTTTTAAACTCAGTAAAATGAAGAGCCATTACGTTGACAATTATCTGACTCATTTGGAAGGATTTCTGTCACTTCAGGATTTGAGCAAAGTAGCACTACAGGTATTGTCTTGATTAATAAAGGTTTCAATCATTTTATCAAATGGCCTTGTTCTTTCATTTGCACCTATCTTAGAGATGGATTCATCTAATCAGGTATGTTAAGTACGCTTTTAAAGAGATTAGATAGTTGTCAATTCGGTCTGTGTAATGGGGCCTGTCAGTTTGCAGGTGCAAAACTTCCTCAAAAGAAGGAAATTTATTACCAGGTGAAAGAGGCTAACCATTTCCTTTTTGTCAATATTTCAGCCATTGGTAATGCATATGCAGTATTGAGCAACCCAGAGAAGCGGAAGCAATACGACCAGTTTGGAGATGAGAAAGTCAACCCTTCAAGACATGGCCACAACCATGCGGACTTCCACCGTGGATTTGAAGCAGACATCTCACCTGAGGATCTCTTCAACATGTTCTTTGGTGGTGGATTTCCTTCTAGTAAGTCTATCAAGTTTTAATCTGCTTTGTGAGCAGGTGTGGTTCCAGTCGCCTGCCGTCCTTGCGACAGAACAATAATACAATAGTGGTTTATTTGGCAGCCTGAGGTTGATGGAAGGTACAATGCTGCTGGTGGTGGGCTTAGAGGGAGAGTGGGCGGCAAGATCCATATGGTGGCTGCCCAGCTGCTCCCAGAGTGGGCCACATGGCGGGCAGCTGCCAGAGCTGAAGCCAGGCTGCAGTGCAGCTGCCCTGAGCGCCAGGGCTGGGGGGTACCATAGCCCCGGCCCAGGAACAGCTGCACCGTAGCCCAGGTTCCAGCTCCAGCAGTAACCACGGGCCTGCCCCAGGAGCAGCTGGGCAGCCATCGCGCAGCCTTGGCCCTAGCTCCAGCCCTGGAGAGAGGCCCAATGGCTCCGGCCTCTTTGCTCCCACCACCTCAGATTGCTGCCGGGAGCTGCTTGCCACTGCCCTTTGCCCCATGCTACAGAGCTGGTGGGAGCACCTGACAGGTGAGTGCTCTGGCTTCTTGGTGGGATGGTCTCGTATTTCACTTCAATTTCTATCTATCTATCTATTATGAATGCATTAACATGTATTAGGTACCCAACAGAAACAAATGGAGACAGATCTAGATCCACAAAAGGATTTAAGTGCCACGGTCAACATTTAATGTTTCATTTATGCTGCTATTAACCACCAAGTCAATTATCAATAATATTAATTTGTATATTTTCAGTCATGCAAATAGGCATTCTTATATGGCTCTTTGTTGACCACTTGTTCTGAATTTTGATGTAATTTGGCTCTTCGGTTTGAAAAAGTTGCTGACCCCTGTAAACCCTCAAATGGATGTTTGCATACTTGTGATTTTCACCTTCTTTTATTTGGATAGAAACATTTCAAGTTATTTTTTTACACTAGTCTGTTCTGAGGAAGTATTAAAATCCTATTCAGAATAAACTTACTAACTTCTAGGCCACTAACCATGCACCCACATTGTTTGTTCAACGTGTGTAGTGCTACACAACTAAGACAGTAAAATTAGCGGGTATCAGTCTCCAGTTCTTTCACCCTACTTTTCTATTCTCTCCTCACAAAAATCAATCATATATTTATCCATGGCCTCCCCTTCTTAGTTAAATTTGACCATAGTGAACTTTTAGGGACTTCTCTAGAACAGTGATTCTCAAACTGAGATCCTTGGATGCCTTGCAGTTGGGCCATGGTTTAAGCTCAGCTCCCTAACCCTTCCCATACAGCAGGGAACCTGTGCTGGAACTCCAGCCTTGTGTGTACGCGCCCACCCCAGTTTGGAGCACCAGCTTCCCGCTGGGGGGGGTGGAGAACCATGTCACGGGGAAGAAGCAGAACAGAAGCTACTCCATGCATTGCTGCTCTCCCTCCCCCACCTGGGGGAACAGCAGTGCACAGACATGTTGCCTGGAGGCTTTCCCTGCTGCTCCCATTGTCCAGAATCCAGCCAATGGGAGTAGCAGGAGGTGATGCCTGGGACACAGTGCTTGGGAGAGGCAGGGGGCACAAAGGCAGGTAAGTGCCCCTCCTTTCCTTTCTGCCCAGACCCCGCGCCCCACCCCCTGTCTCTCTGTTGCTCGCGCGTGCGAGCGCACAAACACACCTCTACATCTGCCAAGACTCAGCACCCCAACCTGCTCCTGCACCCTCCCTCCTGGCCAGACACCCTTCCCCCAGTCCCTTCCTGCAACCTTCCTTGCTCCTGTACCCTCCCTTCTGGCCAGACTCAGACCCACTCTTGCTCCTATACCCTCCCTCCTGACCCCACTCTGCACCCTTCTTTGCTCCTGCACCATCCCCTTTGGCCAGACACCCTACTCCCAGCCTGCTCCTGCACCCCACCTCCCACTCAGATCCTGCATCCCTATCCCACTCAATGGCAGCCCCATCCCACACACTGGCTCCCTCATTTCTGGCCCCACCCCAGAGCCTGGAGTGGCCCACAAAATCTACTAACCCTGGAGCCCCAGAAGAATTAAGCTGACCTGTGGCGAGCCTGAACCTCAGTGCTCCCTGTCCCTCTCCCTCCCCATGAGGCTGGAGTGCCAAGGGAGTGAGGTGTCTCAGTCAGGGGCCACATTAGTGAGGGTTGGGGATTTTTGGAGGGTTTTTTTCTTTGCTTCTCACTTGTGTGGTACCCAACTCGTGTTTCTGTGGTCAGTGGCCCCTACCCCAAAAGATTTCCCAGCCCTGCCTTTTTTTTAAAAAAAGGGGAACTTTTTGTGTTGGACATAAATTAATATTTTACTTTATTTAAAATGAAGTTTAGTAAACTAACATGAGAAAGTTGAAGTGCTTAATCTGTTTAATCATTTCAATTAATATTTCCTTTTAAACTATTTAAATTAAATCATGCTCCATAGCTATAGCATTAGCAAGATGGCTCAGGTGTATGTAATTAATGCCAAGGTTCCATTAGCAGCTGGTAGTCTGCGGAAAGGTTTGCATTGAGTGGGGTGGGCCACAGGCCAAAAAGTTTGAGAACCCCTGCTCTAGAACATGATTTAATTTGTTCAGAATGAAATTAAATCTGTACCTTGTCTATATAAATTCATCAGGGCAAGGAGTTTTATCTCCCTATTTTCCTTTGTAGACCATTTAATGGTCACCATTGAAATATTTACTGGGTTTTTTTCTTTTACAAGCATATAAAGTTACAGCTATTCTAAGTACAGTATAGGAATTACCTGAGGAATAACAAGATAATATGAAGTACTTGCAAAGGCATATCTAAAGCTTTTACTATAGGTTGAAACTTTCTCTAAATCGGGACTCTCTGGCCCTGCACTCTCTGGCCATGCAGCATAGATGTTGCAGGACCACAGAATCTGGTGGAGGGCGAGCAGCAGGGAGCCCTGTGGGACCAGCAGCGCAGCAAGCTGCCCACAGCAAGTTGCCGGCAGGGCTGCCCATTGGGACTGAGAGATCTGGCATGTAGCGGTGGGGCTAGTGGTAGGGGTCCAGCAAAATCCCTCATCCAGGACTGGTCAGGTCCTGAGGATGTTGGACCAGGGAGGTTTAACCTGTACTATTTTTTAAACTAGCTGTAATGGACTAGGTGTTTGAGTGAAGGAAACAATGAGATGACAGAGATCACTGTTAGAGTTGGTTGTAATTTCACAAAGTAACTGGAAGAAGAATTCATAAACAGGTTAATAGGCAGTTTCTGCTATTCAAAACTACAGCTAAGAAAGACAACAGATGTAGGAACTTTACACTTAATTATAAAAGGAAGCAGGGTTTTTTATATTCAGGGAACTGCGTAGTATTTTTTCCTAATAACCTATTAGTTATAATCTAAAAGTCAACCCTACACAGTATTGAAGAGTTTTGCACAATGTCTCCATCCACCCTGAAGTCCTCCAGTTTGTCTACATAAACAATGGGGACCATCTTCCACTTGCCCTTCAGATAGGTCTGATTGTCATTCTTCTGCTTTGGGAATAGATCTTTTCTGGTAGTAACATTCAGTTTAGGATTCACCACTCGTTTCCTAAGTGCTTGCCAGGTGGTGAATCCAAATTCTTCCTTAAAAATCTTTTTGTCGTCCCTGTTGAGTTGGCATTTTCCCTCGTAGCTCAGTCAACTATGTCAGATACACTTTTTAAAGATGTCTCTATTATTGTTTTCTAGGATGACACTCTGGTGTCATTACCTGGTGACAGTTGGCTAAAACACCAATTCATATTACAGGGTGGTTTAGGTGAACATTTTTGAATTTCATTGTGATTTTTCTATGCCTAATCTGCCCATGTGTGGCATTTTTAATCAGGTAGGATGATGTGGAATGTGCACAGTTCTTTTGATCTCATCACCTCCCAGGCTAGCTGTCAGAATGTCTCAGTGTTCTAGATTATTTTAATGGATTTTTTTTTTGCTCCTAGGTAATGTTCATGTATACAGCAATGGCAGGATGCGTTATACCTACCATCAGAGGCATGACAGACGAGAACATCAGGGTGATGTAAGTGGAGGCAAGAGCAAGGAGCAAATGTAAAGTCTTTGTGTGCAACCCCCCAAAAAACCTGATTGCCGTTATAGCCATCATATTAAATTGTCCATCTGGTTTTCCACTTTCCTGGACAAAGTGGAGTGCTTTTCTATTGCAGTAGCAAGTGAGATTAGCTTTTTTTCCAGTAGAGTTGCCGAATTACCTTACTTGCCCATGACTTCCATACATATACATATGCAGATGAAGCTTATCAGACTGGATCCTATTTATACAATGGGAAAATAAATGTCATCTTCTGTTTGACATAGCTTCATATTGAGATGAATTGTAGCATTAGCCATATGCAGCATGAATTGGAGTTTCTTTTTTTACTTAAATATTCCAAAAGTCAGATTTCTCTTGAAACAATGACCAGAGACTAACTGAATAGTGGAGGGTTTACCCACCTTTTATGTAAACCTCATAACATCTACACCCACTCCTCTTTATTTTGCTACTCTGGATGTTTTGCTTGTGGCGTGATGCTGCAGTGTTGACTCATCAAGAACATATGAAGCTGTTATAATGTAAGAATGCTAGAAAAATAATCAGGGGGGTTGACAGGATTTCTAGGCCCGTGGGCAAGTGTTGTGATCATGATCTTAAATGAGGGCTGGCTTGTTAAAACACCTAACTTATTCAATGAGTTTCCTGCACCCACATATTCTCAGGCACACTTTATGAGCCAGACATGTTTAACACACGAACACACAAAATGCAAAACCAGAGCAGTAGGAAAGGGATCTCCAGACTTGATGAAACCAAGAGATAGAAAATTTAAAGTTCTTCTGGTGACATCCCCGTGGGTGCTCCACTGTTGGTGACAGGTGGTCCTGAGAGCCACAGTTCGGAGCTTTTCTTAGAAGTTGACAGTTGAGCTGCGCAGGATGCGCCTCGCGCCACTGACAGTTTGGCACCTGATGCAGCAGCCCAACCCCCACCTTCAGTTCCTCTTCAACTGCCCTCACTCACGGATGGAGCTCTCATCTCTCTCTCGTCTCAGGCGTTTGCTCTTTTTTGCCTTGATATTTAGTTATTTTATCTTTCTTAGCTACTTCCCTTAATTAACTACTTGTCACAACTTCAAAGAACAAATGGCAAACAGACAGAGCAGGCTGTCCTAACCTTGGTTGAGATGGACTGCCTCAGCACTGGCAGCTTTAATCCCCACTCAGCAGGGTTCTAAAAGAAAGAAAGAAGGAAGGAAGAAAGGAAAAGGAAGGAAGGAAGGAAGAGGGAGGGAGGAAGGAAGGAAGGAAGGAAGAAAGGAAGGAAGGAATCCCGAAATTAAGATCTCTCTGCTATGCCCAGCCCTCAGGGCTTTAACAAATGTCTACAATGCAACAAGCCCATGCCAGCCTCGGACCAGCACGTATAAGATACTTGGGGAAAGCCCATCCCCCCCCAAAATGCGACCATTGCAAAATCCTCACGGCCAGGGCCAGGAAAGATCGTGAAATGTGGCTCCACGTGATTTTATTTGAAAGGGTTCTGCAACCATCTGATGAGCCCGAACCACCGGCAAAACACAGAGACCTGAAACACAGGTCCCTGTCTCTATTGCCCCATAAGCAGCACAGGGCATCAGCCTCTCCAGCCAGATTACTTCCAGCAAAACCATCCCTCAGAATAACCACCGGAGATACCTTACATGTAGTAGTGAAGCCCGCTGCCACAGCCACAACTCGCAGTGGCTCGGGGCCGGCACGCACGTCAGCAGCACTGCATGTACTGTGCCGGCAGACCATGGCACCACTGCAGCCAGCACCACAGTATTAGGTGCTGTGAAGGGGTGTGGAACTGCCCGCCAAAAGGCCCCGCAAATCCACGGCACCACCTCCTCCTGAGACGACATCTGCAGGAAAGCCACCTCCCACTGGAGGCTATAACACAGACGCAGCAGCATATCCGCACAGCACAAACTGAAGCTAATTCTGCCTTAACAGGTGAAACCTACAGCAGTCAGCTGAGCTCCTCCCCCTCACCCCCATCAAGGGGTCCCCCACGGCTAGCTGACTCTCCAGTGTCACATGGCACCAGACTCCTGCTGACACAGAGGAATGTTGCAGGTACTGAATATGATCAGAGAAGTGTTTTCTCCTCTCAGTATTCATCCCCCAACTACATCTCGTCAGTTTCAGCAGTACCATGAAAGACTCATTATTCTCATTGGCAGGGCTTGCCGAGTGGTGGCGAGCCCTGCTCGCCAGCCGCACGGTTCTGCGCTCAGTGCATGCGCAGATCATTCTGCTCCAGCTCTTCCGGGGTGTAATCTACTCGCTACGGGCAAGTAGATTACATTGTTTGTCGAGCCCTGCTCATTGGTACCCACAATGGCAGTATCCTCCTCTTTACTACCTCCTCCTTACTACCCACGGTGGACACCGTGGGACTACTAGGAGCCACGCAGACACCGTCCAGGGAGCACAACTGTCTCACCTTGGAGACTCCCACCAACCTCTCCAACTCTCACCCTCCCATCTTCACTGGACTCACCTAAGAGAGGAAAGAGTATCTTCATGGGCAGGCTTGCAAACCTAGTGAGGAGGGCTTTAAACTAGGTTCTATTTGGGGACAGTGACCAAAGCCCTGAGGTAAGCGAGGAAGTCTGATACCAGGAAGAAACACAAGGAGGAACAAGCAACAAAGGAGAACCCCTGACTAGAATGGAGAAGGTAGGTCAATCAACTGGCTATCTAAGGTGTTTGTACACAAATGTAAGAAGCCTGGGAAACAAACAGGAAGAATTTAGAAGCCCTGGCCTAGTAAAAAAAACAACTATGATTTGATTGGAATAACAGACTTGGTGGGATGACTCTCATGACTGGAGCACTGTCATGGAAGGGTATAAACTGTTCAGGAAGAACAGGTGGGGGAGAAAAGGAGGAGAAGTTGCATTGTATGTAAAAGAGCTGTATGATTGCTCGGAGGTCCAGTATTTAGAGGGAGAAAAGACTGTTGAGAGTCTATGGGTTAAGTTTAGAGGTGGAAGCAAAAGGGGTGATGTTGTGGTTGGTGTCTGCGATAGACCTTCAGATCAGGTGGATGAGGCTTTCTTCGGTCAACTGAGAGAAGTTTCCAGATCACAGGCCCTGGTTCTCACGGGGGACTTTAATCACCCTGACATCTGTTGGGAGACATATATGGCAGTACACAGACAATCCAGGAAGTTTTTGGAGAATGTTGGGGATAACTTCTTGGTACACGTGCTGAAGGAACCAATCAGGGGCCATGCGCAGCTTGACCTGCTGCTCACAAACAGGGAGGAACTAGTAGGGGAAGTAGAAGTGGGTGACAACCTGGGAAGCAGTGATCATGAGATAGTAGATTTCAGGATCCTGACCAAAGGAAGAAAGGAGAGTAGCAAAATACACATCCTGGACTTCAGAAAAGCAGACTTTGACTCCCTCAGAGGACTGATGGGCAGGATTCCCTGGGAAGCTTACATGAAGGGGAAAGGAGTCCAGGAGAGTTGGCAGCATTTTAAAGAAGCTTTATTAAAGGCACAGGAAGAAACCATCCTGATGCACAGCAAGAAAAGCAAATATGGTAGGCAACCAGATTGGCTTACTGGGGACATCCTCGGTGAGCTTAAACACAAAAAGGCAGCTTACAAGAAGTGGAAATTTGGGTAGATGACTAGGGAGGAGTATAAATATATTGCTCAAGAATGCAGGGGACTTATCAGGAAGGCGAAAGCGCAATTGGAATTGCAGCTAGCAAAGGATGTGAAAGGTAACAAGAAAGGTTTCTATAGGCATGTTAGCAATAAGTGGGTGATCAGAGAGGGTGTGGGGTCGTTGCTGGATGAGAGAGGTAACTTAGTGACAGATGATGTGGGAAAAGCTGAGGTACTCAATGATTTCTTTGCCTCTGTCTTCACGGGCAAGGTCAGCTCCCAGACAAATGCACTAGGCAACGCAGTATGGGAAGGAGATGGACAACCCTTGGTGGGGAAAGAACAAATTAGGAACTATTTAGAAAAGTTAAACATATACAAATTCATGGGCCCGGATTTAATGCATTTGAGGGTACTGAGGGAGTTGGCAAATGTCATTGCAGAGCCTTTGGCCATTATTATTGAAAACTTGTGGACATTGGGAGAGGTCCTGGATGACTGGAAAAAGGCAAATGTAGTGCCCATCTTTAAAAAAGGGAAGAAGGACAATCCAGGGAAATACAGACCAGTCAGCCTTACCTCAGTCCCCAGAAAAATCATGAAGGGGATCCTTAAGGTATCCATTTTGAAGGACTTGGAAGAGGGAAAAGTGATCAGCAGGGCTCGACAAACTGCGGCGAGAGCTACTCACCAGCCCTGCACCGCACATGCGCCATACCGGCACTGCGCATATGCGCAGCGCCAGCGAATGGGGGACTCGGAGTTACCGGCTGAAATCTACTCACCACAAGCGAGTAGAAACAGCGGTTTGTCAAGCCCTGGTGATCAGGAATAGTCCGCATGGATTCACGAAGGGCAAGTTGTGCCTTACCAATCTGATTAGCTTCTATGATGAGGTAACTGGCTCTGTGTATATGGGAAAGACAGTGGATGTGATATACCTTGACTTTAGCAAAGCTTTTGATACGGTCTCTCACAATATTCTTGCCAGCAAGTTAATGGAATATGGATTGGATAAATGGACTGTAAGATGGCTAGAAAGCTGGCTAGACTGTTGGGCCCAACGGGTAGTGATCAACGGCTCAATTTCAGGTTGGCAGTCAGTTTCTAGTGGAGTGCCCCAAAGATCTGTTCTAGGACCAGTTTTGTTCAACATCTTTATTAATGACCTGGATGAGGGGCTGGATTGCACCATCAGCAAGTTTGCAGATGACACTAAGCTAATGGGAGAGGTAGCTATGCTGGAGGGCAGGGATAGGGTCCAGAGTAACCTGGACAGATTAGAGGATTGGGCCAAAAGAAATTTGATGAGGTTCAACAAGGACAAGTGTAGAGTCCTGCACCGGGGATAGAAGAATCCCAAGCATTGTTACAGGCTGGGGACTAAATGGCTAAGTAGCAGTTCTGCAGAAAAGGACCTGGGGATTGCAGTGGATGAGAAGCTGGATATGAGTCAACAGTGTGTCCTTGTAGCCAAGAAGATGAATGGCATGTTGGGGTGCGTTAGGAGGAGCATTGCAAGCCGATCTAGCGAAGTGATTATTCCCCTTTATTCGTCTCCGGTGAGGCCACATCTGGAGTACTGTGTCCAGTTCTGGGACTCCCACTACAGAAAGGATGTGGACGCATTGGAGATGGTCCAGCGGAGGGTGACCAAAATGATTAGGGGGCTGGAGCGCGCATGACCTACGAAGAGAGACCGAGGGATTTGGGTTTTAGTCTGCAGAAGAGACAAGTGAGGGGGGATTTGATAGCAGCCTTCAGCTTCCTGAAGGGAGGTTCCAAAGAGGAAAGAGAGAGGCTGTGAACAGCCATGAAGGATGGCAGAACAAGAAGCAGTGGTACAAAGTTACAGTGGGAGAGGTCTTGGTTGGATATTAGGAAAAAGTATTTCATTAGGAGGGTAGTGAAGCACTGGAATGGGTTACCTAGGGAGGTGGTGGAATCTCCATCCCTAGAGGTTTTTAAGTCTCAGGTTGACAAAGCCCTGGCTGGACTGATTTAGTTGGGATTGGTCCTGCCTTGGGCAGGGGGCTGGACTTGATGACCTCTTGAGGTCTCTTCCAGCTCTATGATTCTGTTACTCGGAAGAGGATGATGAGAAGGGTCAAATTCCTGATGGGGGGAGAGTCGCATGTGATCGGCAGGCTTTGGAAGATAACTCGTCCCCACCCCTTGAGGACGCTGTAATACCGGAAACATCAAACTCTTCAGATGATCTCAGACAGTTCCAAGAGCTTTTTAAAGGAGTAGCCACCAGCCAGGAGGTTCAACTCCAAGAAGTAAAAGAGAAACAACATCGCCTCCTAAAGAACATTCTCCCATCCTCTCAAGGAAGGATCGCTGTTCCTATTGATGAGACGTCTGGTGGACACCCGCCTCCATCTAACCAACCTGCAAAAAAAGAGACAGGAAGTACTTTGTCCCTCCCCTCCCCCGCCCAAAGACCTGGATATTTTTTTTTCCCATCCCTAACCTAACTTACTCATGGTGGATGTAGCGAACTAATGCTCCAAGGCTCCCCAGATCAAATGAAAGAGTACAAGAAGCTAGACATCTTTGGCAGGAAGATCTACTCATCAGCCACACTGTAACTTAGAATAGCAAACTATTCAGCACTGCTAACTAACCATGACTTTGACAATTACTCTAAGCTGGCTGAACTCATGGAACATCTACCTGACTCCAAGAGGCCCATTCTCAGGGTGATCATCCATGAGGGACACACTATCACCCGTGCTGCTCTACTAGCAGCCATAAATGTTGCTGATACAGCTGCCAGAGCAATGGCCACAGCTGTGGTGATGAGAACTTCATGGTTACATGCAGCAGGGGTGCTAAAAGAGCTATAGATGAAAGTGGAAGGACCTCCCTTTCGATAAACAAAAGCTGATCACAGCAAACACAGGTGAGATCCTACACAGCAGCAAGGACTCTTGCACCACGCTTCTCACACTTGGCATGTGCACACCACCATACTGAAGAAAGAGCTACATTCCTTACAACAGAGATAGGGACAACCACCCTCAGCAAAGGCCATACGAGTATAACCAATCCAGGAAGTGGCCCCGGAGAAAGTGCCCACCTCAAGTACACTCCTCTGGATCACAAACAGTAGATTTGAGGAATTGGTCGAGGGTTTGCCCAACCATCCAGTGTCAACAAAGGCAGAAATGCATCTTTTCCACTGATTACTCCCCTTTTTCTAACACTGGGACTCAGTAACAGCAGATCAGCGTGTGCTAGAGATCATCCACATGGAATACTCCAAACTCTTCACGTCCCTTCCCCCCCACCTCTCCCCTTCCCTATCACTCTTCAGGGACCTCCTCACGAGACTCTTCTCAGGCAAGAAATCGACCGCCTTCTCCAATTAGGCGCAGTATAGAGCATACCCAAACCCTACAAGGGAAGAGGTTTCTAGTCCACCTACTTTCTTACCCAAAAGTGTACGGGGGGGTTGGACGCTGATTTTGCATCTTTGCAAACTAAACAAATTTTTACAGAAACAGAGTTTCAAGATGGTCACACTGACTTCAATAATGCCAGCACTGGACAAGGGGGACTGGTTTGCGGTCCTCGACCTACAAGACGCATACTTCCACATCATGATACATCCTTCGCACAGGCGTTACCTCCGTTTCATGATTAGGGACGACCATTTTCAGTATACAGTTCTCCCCTTCGGACTTTCTTCACCCCCCACGTTTTCTCAAAGGTACTCGCAGTTGCAACAGCCTTTCTTCGGCAACAAGGGGGGGTCATCATCTTTCCGTATCAAGACGATTGCCTCATCAGAAGTCGATCACAAGCAGAGCCATATGAGATGGTCCCCAAAACAAGTCACCTGAGGAATTACCTCAAACTCATAAATGAACAGAAATCAACTTGTGAACCAACTGAAGACATCAAATTCATCAGAGCTCACCTCAATTCTATATCAGCTCAGGCATACTTACTGAACCACAATTCAATGGTCTCCTGGACTTAGTGACTACTCTAGCTATGAACCCATTGTCTCCTGTGCATACCTGCCTTCAATTGCTGGGCCACATGGCAGCTACTACGTATGTTATCCAGTATGAGCGTCTTCACTTCTGCACTATGCAGCACTGGCTGACTTCCATCTGCAAGCCTTCCCAACATTCTCTTGGGAAGCGAAAGACAAACTTACTCTAAGGCCATACCCGTCGCTTGTGTACAAGGTCAGCATCTCCTTCCATATTAAAAAGCCCATAGTCCTACCTACATTCTACCCAAAGCCTCACGCATCCCACTGAGACACTGTTCTTCACCACTTCCACGTTCGCTGGGCTCTAGCCTTTTATATTGACAGAACACAACAGTTCCGTAAATCTCCACGTCTTTTCTTGTCCCTTGCAAATCACTCCAAGGGTACTCCGATATCAATGCAGTGCATTTCCAAGTCTATAATAGCCTGTATACTACATTGTTACTCTCTTCGGAATAAACATCTACCAGCGCCACCTAGAGCACGTTCCACTGCAATATCTACCCTCTTCCTGAACAGTGTTCCCCTGAAGGACATATACCGGGGTGGCCACATGGTCATCGAACCATTCCTTTGCCAGGCATGCCAAATAGCAGCTGATACAGCAGTAGCTACAGCGGTACTATCTTCTGCTGCTACACGGTAACTTTGAGACCAACCTCCTCACGGAATAGTGCTCTTTAGTCACCAACAGTGGAGCACCCATGGGGACATCACCCAAAGAAGAAAAGGAAGTTACTCACCCTGTGCAGTAACAACTGTTCTTTGAAGTGTGTCCCCCTCCCCCCCAATGGGTGCTCCATGACCCTCCCTTCCTCCCCTCTACACAGAGGTTTTTTTTTAACAACTCGGGCGTAGACAAGGATCTGAATTGGGGAAGGGGGGGAAGAGAGAGGGAGAGACGGACACATGCATGCACGAGGGGCCAAACTGTCAGTGCCTCCTGCGCGTGCACGGCCCAACTGTCAGCTGCTAAGAAAAGCTCCAAACTGCGGCTCCAGGGACCACCCATCACCAGCAGTGGAGCACCCACGGGGGGACACACCTCGAAGAGCAATCATTACTGCACAGGGTAAGTAACTTCCTTATTTTAAACATCTACCAATTTTTCTTTTTTTGTCACAAACCAGTCTGAACTCTGAGATTTCTTGCTCCTGAATCTCAAATTCCCACACCAATCTTTTTGCAGCTGAGCACTGGATGGGACAGGACTTCTAATCCAGTCTTCTCTTTAATTAATCAAGGAAGACACTTTACAGTGACAGGAAGCATTTTTCTGCCTTCTTTTGCTACAGAGGTCAATTGTGTTGCTTCTGCAGTGCTTCCAACCCCTTTTGGCTATGGAAATGAGACAGGGAGGTGCCTTATATCTAAGCCAGATCTCTTTCACAGCAGTGTAGACCATTAATCTCTGGGCTGATCTACAATATATTTAAAAATACTATTAATTTTTTTTTCTTAAGTCTTAGGAGCCAGATGTTCTGCACTAGAGTGGGGAGGGAATTTAAGAGGTGAGGCAGAAAGGGGGGTAAACTCATCTTGTAAATCATTGTAAAGGGGAAGCATTTTCTAAGAAATATATCTGGTGCTGTGGTACTCTCCTCTACAGACTGAGAACGCTATGAGAGATGCATTATCAACTGTTCTAGAAATCTTTAAATGTAACAATGCCATGAGTCCTTCCAAACTTACATAAAAGACTTTTTTTTCCCCTTCAAAAAAACACAATGGTGGTTTGAGATAAGTAGGACAGCTTTAGCACTTTCAGGTATGCTTTCAAAGTAATCCTCGGTGATTTACCCTAGGACTGGCATTTCTGTTAATGGGGATCACTGGGCAGTGAAATCCCCACAAGCTCCTTTGAAATGTTCTCTTTACACACTCTCTTTTTTAAACCCCATCAAACAGTCAGTCCTGTTGTGTCTTTGACTAATACACACATTTCTTACTTACATCAGTGAGGGCACAGTATGACTGGGTTTGTGAGGGAGGATGAGATCAATGCTAAATAATCTATGCATGTAAATGTATTGATGACATTCCATTGTATATTTCTGTTCCCCCTCAGGGTGGCCTTGGGTTGTTTGTCCAGCTGATGCCTATTCTCATCCTGATCATTGTTTCAGCTCTCAGCCAGATGATGGTCTCCAGCCCACCTTACAGTTTGAGCCACAGGCCGTTAGTACCCATAACTCTCATACATATTTAGCTTGGGGGTGGGCTGGGAGCAGGGGGAGCAATTGGAAATAAGAGTTGGTATGTTAGTGGTTGGGATTTTGTGTTTTGTTTTTCAATTTTTTGCATGTTTTCTTGCCTTGCCTGTCCTCTTGCTTTCACATGCCCTGAGATTGTTACACCTGTGGTTGTTGACATGGATGACTTGGAGATCTGCCAGCACCCATTATCACAGCAAAAATAACCCTCTTTAATCCCATTTTCTTTTTTGCATGGCTCTTATGGATAGTGTGGTGCCTAACAAGAGAACCTTCTTCAAGAAGTGGCCATTAGAGCACTCGTGTGCCCCCTCCAATGTTTCCTGTCAGTGCCTCTGAACATTTGGAGGATAAGGCAATAAGAAGGTGCAGAACCCTCTACTGCCTTAATTCCTTCCAACTGCTGTGACAGATGTGAACTACTCCAGTCTGTTCAGATCTAGGGGTTTCTTCCTATTCTGTCATGATAATTTAGTTTAGTTATTTACTAGCTTGGCTCCAGATTATACCGGGACTGAAGAAAAAGCAGCAGCTGGTTTTCAAGAGAGATTCTTCATGCCTAGTTGTCTTCCTGGCCTCAGATAAACCTTGTTAGGAGACTGAAATGCCTGGTGGCATGTGTCTGAATCATATTTTATTATTGGCTCCTCAGGTCATGTTCCTCCTCTGGTTTTTACAGTATCAGGCAGTTACATGGAGTTCACCAAATGAAAAATATTATGATTCTCCTTTTGTGTGCACAAACTGTCCTTTCTTGACATAATACACGGGCAGGGGGCTCAACCTTGTGAAGAATCTAGGGCTGTGTTTTGAGTGGCAAGAAAGGTGTGCTTCGTTCCCCCGTTTTCAAATTACATTAACCTAAACAGGGAACAACTATGCTTTCTGAAGTGTCTGCTCAGTAAATCCGATGAGAGTGCCTTGTTGGAGGTATTCTCTGTCCTGGCACTGTCTTGAATAAAGAGGGAAGGAATTGGGGAGGAGCAAAGGGACAGAGGGGAAATTAGCCTCCTTTCCTGCAGCAAAGTGGATGCTACAGCATGTTGCTAGATTGAGCAATGTGCCGCTCTTGGGGTAACAGTAATCTCCAGTGAGTGGAGCTGAGAGTCTGAGTTCATCAAGCAGGCAGCCCTGTTGAGAAAGCTTAGCTATCTTTGAGTTTGACAGCAGTGTCTTTGTTCTATTTTGGCCTGTATTCTGACTTCATTCTGGATTAATATATTTCTGAAATCCTCATTTGTCTTAGTCTTCAGCTTGAGATCCATCAGCTTCAGAGATTCACAGACACACACAGCATCTTCGGGCACATCCTGAAGAAGAAGAGCTAGGTGTCTGGGAAGAATGTAGCAAATAGTGTTTCAAACACTAGCTGCTGAGGATCTGTTGAAGAGTAGAACAAGCACTTAATTCTAAAACATGTGTGGAGCCTCTGGCAGTCAATACCTCAAGATATTTCCGTGTTCTGAAGCACACCCATGTAGTTAAGGGAAGTCTTGATTGATTGTCTAGGTAGGTTTAATTTCCATCTGGTAGAATGTTCCACTGTGTCTGTTCCACCAAAGATTAAACTCTCCTTACCAAAATAGCTCAAGAATAAAAGAAGGATATGTCCTTTGACTAGATTGATAATACATATTAGCTGTTTCTTGTCCACAAATTTCTACTCCCTGCTTGAATAACATTTACTATTTTGTCTTTTCTCTCTGGACTAGGTCTGTGGGTCACATACACAGGAGAGTGACGGAGCACTTGAAGGTAGCTTATTATGTAGCTGAGAACTTTGCAGAAGAATACACTGGCACAAATCTGAAAAATGTTGAGAGGAGTGTGGAAGATGATTACATTGCAAACCTTAGAAATAACTGCTGGAAGGAAAAGCAACAAAGTGAGTGGCATGCTTTTCTGGGGCCACTTTCTTAAAAGTCTTAGGGTTTGTTGGTTTGTTTGTTTGCTTTTTTAAGAGAAAAGTCCTTGAGTAAGAACAGAGCTACATAAATCTCGGCTAGCTCAATCATAATTTTATTGCTCTGTAGGACCTGAAGCAGCCTAAGGGCCCTGTATCTGCAGTGGTTTATTAACATATCAGTCACCTCTGTCCCATATAATATTTTTAAACAATAATATAGAAATGATTGGTGTAGCAGCTCCATTCTGTGGAATTCCTCTGCCATGTCAGTGAGAGATGAACAGAAATCACTGATTCCTGAGGAATGGGAAAGGTAGGGCCAGGAGTCTCTGAAGAGTTTCCTGATGTTTCCTGATAGCCCTCAGGCTATCATCTCATTTTAGAACAAAGTGATTTAGTGCTTATAAAGAATATATCTTTACAGCCTCTTTCTATCAAAGGAGCCACATCAGAGATCCTGCAAGGTGAAAAGTGGAATATTCTTAATTTTCAGTTTTTATGATTGCTTAACTCTCAAGGTTTATCATCAAGATAACATTTTATTGACTCCACCTTCGATTGGCCCCTTTCTCAAATGACTGTAAAATAGCAGGTGATTATAGCTGCTTTGAACCAATGCCCAGCTGGGAATTTATGTGCAAATATATTGGCATTGTTTTTGTATGGGATAAAAATAGATTCCAAAGATTCCAACAGATCCTCACAACATGCTAACTATCATTCGTTTCTTGGATCCTCACAACATGCTAACTATCATTCTGAACAAGAAGTACTGAATGTGACACCTTTTGGGGCCTGATAGGACTATCCCAAGTCAGCCAAATTTTTGCTGTAGAGCAGGGATGTTAAAATGCGTTCATTTTTGTAAACGTTTTCAGCGGTTACACATTCGCACACACACTGCTGGTATTGTATCGGAGCTTTTCAGATGTACTGGGATGTGCTGGCTCCTGCCTCTCTTCTCCACCTCTTCCTCCCCCTCTCCCCCCGTTGTCTTTCATACAGAGACAGCAGCAGTGGACTGAGGGTGGGGGAGGGATGAATGTAACCATATCAGAGGCAGCAGCCCAGTGTGGGGGTGATGGCAGGTGGCTCCCCAGGAACCTGTGCTCACAGGAAACCAGCTTCGCAGAGACTGAAAGCTAGCTACCCCTGCATACCGCCTCCCAGCTCCTGCCCCTGCGCTGCTGCTTCTGATATAGAGGCAGTTCAGGGGGGAGCAACCTGCATGTAACTATGCACATTAACCAATGAGCCCAGGCTCATCGATTAATCATGTAGAGTGGGTACACATTCACATCCCTATTGCAGAGCAATTCAGTGGACCAAGGTAGAGTGATAAACTCTGATTCACCATATTTCTTCTTCCCCATGCTACCAGGCTGCCCTTTGTGTTACTCATTTAATGAACACTAGGGCTACTTCCAGTTCTGAGCAGATATCGAAAGCTTCCCCTGTGATGAGCCACTGAAATCCTGCTGACAAAGATCATTTTTGTTCTGTTACAAAGGACATCAGGTATTCCCTACCCTCTCACTGTACTTCATCTGGGATGGAAGAAGTTGAGGCTAGATCCTTTTCCCGTTGAAATCAATGGGACATTAAATTGGTAGATTTAGCTCTTGGTGAATACATCACACTTCACATTTTAATGAATGATTGTTTTTAATGTTGGAATTTTTCCTTTGCAGAGGAAGGTTTGCTTTACCGGGCACGATACTTTGGAGATTCAGATCTGTATCAAAGAGCGCAGAAGATGGGCACCCCAAGCTGTAGCAGACTGTCAGAAGTTCAAGCCTCCATGCACGGATAGTCACTACTAGACCACTCAGCAAATGTCTAAGTACGAGCTGGTCATATTCTTGTGATACCAAAGCATGACACATCAATTATTTTTATACTTGTTTAAATCTCTAACTGAGATGTAGATCCTTGTGACTCTTCTCTCAATATGCATGTGTAACAAGGAGAAAGCATAACTCTCTGTCAAGCATATACACCTTCAGTGGGATGGTTGGTTTAATTTGCATGCCAGCACTTCAAATGATCTTCCAGTTTGCATCTCTTTGTTAGCATTGCCAATCTCAGCTCTCTGAGAGCAAAGTGAAAGGCCTGGACGTGTTTGTGAGTGAACTAAGTTCTTGTCAAGCATCGGTTTGAGACTGTTAGTTTTTTGCTTTGGCTGGTCAGAGATTGTTCCCTTTATTAAGCATTTATCAGATTAGGCAACTGGCAGTCACATTTCTATTGCCAGTTTTTGTTGCCCTATTACCTATTTTATTGTACCATGATGCTTAAAGAAATATGATCACAGGGAAGAGATTCCTGTAAAAGGTTTTTGTCCTTGTGTTGTCTTCCCCAGATCCTCAGGGTGTGTCTAAACTACTTGGCTCTGTCGACAGAGCCATGTAGGTGAGTTTACTAGACATAGCAAAATGAAGTGGCAATTTAAATAATCGCGCTTTATTGACATCAAAATAGCCGCCACGCTGTGCTGACGATCACCTGATCCGGCACAGTGTGGCAGTCTAGACGCGCCACGGTCAACAAGGAAGGCCTTTGTCGACCGCGGCACGTCTAGACTGCCCCGCTGTGCCGGATCAGCTGATTGTCAACACAGGTGGCGGCCATTTTGATGTAAATGAAGCGCGATTATTTAAATTGCCACTTCATTTTGCTATGTCTAGTAAACTCACCTACATGGCTCTGTCGACGGAGCCATGTAGTCTAGACATACCCTCAGTGAAACCAAACCAAACTCTTACTGTATGCCGCAGGTTGAACTGCAAGAAGTAGAGACCCATGGTGTCTTCATGGTCTGGTAAACCTGATGAACCAGAGCGCTGTGGTGGCAGTTCAAATGGCATAAATTAGAGTAGCACTAGATTACTTAATGGAGGACTGTGTACAAATATATTAAAATTTGGCCCAGGATGTGGCATTTCTTTGCTCCATCATTACTTTGTCTGATTCTTACAAAGGCAGGAGGCCTCGCCCATAAGCAGCTAATAGGATGAATGTAAAACACACATGCTTTCCCTATCGTTCGTAAATTTAATTGAAAGCAGGGACTCATCAATAGAACAAAATGAGACTTAGCATCATATTTTCAGTTTTGCGCACACCCGTTACTACTGCAAAAAATAATTACCTTGCATGTCAGACATCTACATTGTGTGCTCAAGGAAGGGCTAGAATTGGAAGCTTTGTTTGTTTTTTTGGCAGGTGGAGCACATATGAAAATTTCATTCTTAGTCAATTGCCTGAAGTATATTCTCAGCTCGCGTGTGTCCAATTTTTGAAAGTGTCTTGCACTTGGGACTTTTCTTTTTTTATATGCCCTGTACTTTTGATAACTGTTCCTCTTAGTACATGGGAATACTTTAATTAACTTTGTCGCTCTCTCTAACTCAGCATATCTCTTTATGTCCATCAACTAATGAAGAGTGCAGATGTGCATTTTTCATTTAGACATATTATCTGTAACGTGGGAAGATGGGTGGGGAAGATGTTTTCTGTTAAATGGTTATGGATTGGAGACTGACACAGTTACCACTTTTATTCCCAGACTCTTGAAATGCCTGAAGACTTTTGGCGAAGTGCACTGAGCCAAGGTGACAGACTTTATATTTAAAGAATCAAACCTTAAATTAAAATGGAATTGGAGAATTAGCAACGCACAACTGCCCTCTCTTCTTACTCTGTCTTCAACGTTAAATGCAGCAGGCAGCAGTTAGGAAATAAAGTTGCCTGTCTTCTCTTCTTTTCAACACCACTAGAGTGCAACAATCTAGTCTCTCCTAGGATACAGCAACCATGAGAAGAAGTGTAGAGTACAAAAAACAAACTGCAGCAAGCCATGAAGCAGGAGACCCTTCCATGATTGCACTGGTCACTTCGAATGGAGAGAGAAATTGGAAGATATTTTTAGGACTAAAAACCAATTAATAAGAAAAGAATCAATCTATTTAGAATTAATTTATAGTTGTATGTATGTTGTATTTTTAAACTATGCAGGGATTGGATTAATTTATTTAGTTTTCTGCCCAGTTTAGTGAAGTGTGAACTCTGGCCTGTTTTGGAGGGGCCTTGCAGACCTATCCAATTTCAGTTTGCCACATCTGATGACACTTTGCGCTTTTTTTTTTTTTTTTTTTTAGAAAATATAATTTTGTGACTTGGAATTTTTTTTAAAAAAGAAGAGCTACATCTGTAGAAAGATTTATTAAAATTGACCAGACTTTTTGATTTGTTTTTGCTATACTGATTTAATTGGTGACAGTCAACTGCGTGCTGAATTCTTGTACAGAAAGGAGAGGATCGTCCCAAATGGACTTAGCTCATCAGTGTTCAATTTGGTTTTTGTGTGTGTGTGTAACTTTTTTTCCCCAGAGTCTGCTTTATTTCTGCCTTGTAATCAGTGTGCAGCATTAGTTCTGTAAACAGGGCTTGCCACGAGCTATATCCTTTTGTTCTTCTCTCTCCTAAACTCAGAGTTCCTCATCCAGCCGACTGCTAGCTGTAATATGGCTGGTACCTTGCCATAACACTTCCGATGCTTCCACCTGTATTGAGATCCCAAAAAGCAGCCTTTTCTTTTACCAGAAACAGTTTTGGTGGGAGGATCAGAAAGAGGAGGATGGTTAATCTTTGGTTGCTTAATTGGCTTTGAAAAATGTGACACATTTAGATCACATCTAAATTTTCCTCGTTTTATAGCAATGGTTTATAGCAATGGTTTAGAAGAAGAAATGATGCTGCTAAACTTGGGTTTACTTTCTTGAGCAAGCAGGACCTGGATGAGAGCAACAGGATAGCACTCAAGATTATTCTAAACCCAGTGTGTCTCTTTGACTTGTGGAGCGAGAGAAGCACAAGTTGAATGAGCTATGGTACCATTAATGCCATAAACTGGATTCTTCTCTGTCCTCATGTTAATTTTTGCTTAAAGATGTCTCTTATAAGAAACAGTTTTCAGAATTCCCTTATGGGGGAATTTATCAAAATAGCAATGGCTGCCAAGTAGGATGGTAAGGGGCTAAGATGAAAGTGAAAGGCTAGGTGGTTTTATTTCTATTTGTTTGAAATTGACCAGCTCTATTTTAACTGAATATTTATGTAGCAAAATGATTCTGAGCCCTTCTGTGTATTGCAAGCCTTACTGTCCACTACTGTGAAGCATCTTATGTGATTTCAAGTTTTAAAAAATATCCTCCAGGTCTTTGGAGAGGGATGTTGTGAAAATAAAATATTTTTGAAAAAACGCTGTTTAGAGGCACAAAAGTTACTCAGCATTGATAGACATTGAAGGGGAAACTTGAGAGACAACTTGTGTTTACAAAGGGTGCTGACATCTTGCAAAATGGCACTCCAGCTCCAGTGCCCATCCAACCAAACCTTTTGATTTCTCAAGTAGATATCTGTGGATAGTAAGCGCTATGTGCAATGAAGCATAAGTCCTAAAGGATACTCTCAGAATTTGTATTTCTTGATTTAGAATTAATTATACAATTGTACATCTATAAATAAATGTTTATAATGTGAGAGGCTTTGACTGTGTTTGTGCCACTCAGGGTCTGTTGTGTTGTGTTCTGACAGAAGAAATTAGTGGGGAAACAAGTCAGAGATGAGGACAGTGAGAACAGCTACAGTTTGACATGTCACCTGTGAGACTAAAAATGCACCCTAACAATGAATTATGCTGAGTTGAGGCAGTTTTTTTTTTTCCTCTTCTAACACACTGCTGCCCTCTAAGGATGCCTAAGTCCAATTGTCAGTGATAATGGAGATTAAGCATTCTGCAGGCACAAACGGGAGGAGCTGTAGAGCTTTTTAGTATTATATGTAGAAAGCTATTGTATACTAAAAATTAGAATTTAAATAAACTGATCTATCTAGTTTGCGTAGAATTACATTATGGAAAACTGACATTCAAATTAAAGTCAAGTTCTGCCATTAGCAAATTCGTCCAATCTTAATGGTTTACTGTTTGTGGTAAATGCAGTTTTTAAACACAAAACACCTCCATATAGATTTCCTAAAAGGGTCCAAGAGTTTGTGAATATTAAATCAAGCTGTAATATTTAAAGATTAGGATTGAGACTTTCAAAGTTGACTCTGGGTTTTAGAAACAACTACCATTAACTTCACTTAAAATTGTGCATTCAGATGAGGGATGTTAAATTTAGATTAATTAACTAATCGAATCGTCGATGGGATTTCCCATCTATAAGGGAGCCTCCACCTTTAAATGGTAGCAAGAGCCCTTCTGGGCTCTTGCTACAGTTCAAAAGTAGAAGCCCCTCAGGGAGCATGGGACCGGGGGGAGGAGGGCTCCCTGGTGGCCCAATGCTCCCTGTGGTGCCTCAGCCTTTGAGCTTCTGGTGGGGCTCTTGTACATTTCAAAAGGAAGCCCCGCAGGGAGTGGGGGACTCCCGTTGGTCCTCTGCTCTCTGTGTGGCCTGAGGGTGTATGGGGTGTGGGTGTTTTTTGTTTTGTTTTGTTTTTTGAATGTACAAGAGCCCTAGTGGGGCTCTTGTACATTTCAAAAGCAGAAGCGGCACAAGCAAGAGACTGCTTCAGTCCCTGCTCGTGCTGTTTCCTGCTGTGTCTCTACCTCCCGTTCCCCCCACAGAGACGGTGCTGGGGGGGGGGCCCAGCTTTTAAGCCGGCTTCCCCCAGCATCGGCTCGTGATTCCACACCCTCCTTGCTGCCTGTCTCTGATAGAGGCAGCAGATGGAGGGAAACTTTTGCTTATCGGATAGTCAACTAGTCTCTTACGTCCCTAGTTCAGATTCCACATTTGGCTTTGAAAGTCTCAACCCAGAGTTCTTGAAAGAGGTGGAGGAAAAGGATTGAGCCTTGGTAGAGAAGAAACTATTGTGGTTCTAAAAGATTTGTAATAACTTGTTTCAATGAAAACTACCCATTAAAGATCTTGCTGCTCAATGATTAGTTTGCAGGAGGATAAACTTTTGCTTTGGGCCACAACATTTTCCTAGTGTTATTTTATTCAGCAATAGGGAGCATTATAAAGAACAAATATTTAATTACCAGCTTTAGTGAACAACCCTATAATAAAAAATTAGTGCCACTGTATATTTGATAGAAACTAATTCATTGAGGAAAGCGCTATGAATTTCATTCTTCCACGGAGCAGCTCTAAACTGTAGGATTTTTTTATAAGGAGAATACTTTGACCTGTCGTCTTGAAACAGACTACGTTGTATGTTTCTTGTTTCTAACGTTACAGGTAGGCCCAAGGAGTCAAAATCAGTCCTAGAATAACTCCATTAACTTCAATGGGAAAAATTTGGTGCATAGTTAAGCAATAAGCTGAATGTGATTATGTAGAAGTAGTGAACACTGCATCATTTGCACAACCATAACAGAGCTGTTTAATTTCCAGGTTTAGGACTTAACAGATTTTTAAAATGCCTCTTTGGATCTATATCCTTCACTCTGTACTAGAGAAGAATCTTTTACCCAAGTGTAAAAACTTTTGTATATGAGGTTGCCAAGACTAGACACTAAATATTTGCCCGTGTCTGAACTATATGGACAAGATAGAAAACTTGATATGTCATTCAGCTCATTGCTCTGCTAATGCAGTTTGTTCCCATAATATATGCTCAAGTGCTATGTTCAATACAGCTTTAAAAGACTTAAACTTACACTTCACTTAGGAGACTATTCCACAGTATAAAGCAGGGAACTTTTCCCTGGTGCTCAATGTATGTCTTTTATTGTCAAAATTAAGTTTATATTCTTAATCCTTGTTTTAGTTATTTGTATTACAAAGGTGCCTTGTTCTGCCGTGAACTATTCTTCTCCCTCCATGGTGTTGATACACTGGTAGAAAATTGAGTTGAATTAAACTTTATTGTGGGTTGAATGGAAACCTCATGATGTGTGAATACACGTTTCTCTTAAGACAGTTGTGAGACAGTTAAGGGAACACTCCTAGAACAAGCCCTATCAGCACCAGTTCAAGAGACAGGCAGAGAAACCAAGCAGTGACCAGTGAGCACAATGTAACCCTGGAAAAAGCTAGCAAGCAATCTGCTGGCTATAGAGGCTTGGGGGTATAAACTAAGAAACTGTTCCTTTTGTTCTTGGTTTCTCCTGTATTCAGAGAAGCAGGACTATGTACATTCCTTGTAAATAAAAAAGATTGCATCAAACAAAGTACCAGACTCTTGTCAATTTATGGAATATCCCCAGAACCCTGAACTGAGACATCTCTAGACAGAGACAACCTTTTCATCTCTTCTCCACCCACACAGGAGAGAGCTAACATTTTATTTTAATCTAATAATCCAATATGCTTTTACTTCCCACTGTTTTCTGAATTCTTTCCTACTTATTAGTGTTTTTCACACGGTAGTATTCTATATGCTGTGTGTCTTTAGTCCTGATCTGTGAGGCCTACTGCCCAAAATTACATAGCCTTATTTTGCCACCATATTATACTGCAAAATAACCTCATTTGCTATCTGATTTACTTTCTGCTTTACTATTTTCCCAGTGTCACCATTCCATTCTGTATTGTCTTACAGGGATATGTGTGCTTGCATTTTTCTAGGCTGACTGTATTTTTGTATTCTGTACTCTTGGGCCACGTCTACACCATGCAGAAGATTGACACTGCCACAGTCAATCTGCCAGGGTTTGATTTAGTGGGTCTAGTGAAGACCTGTTAATTCGAACTGACAGGTTGTCCCCGTTGGCACCAGTAGCCCTGCTCCTCACAAGGAGTAAGGAAAGGTGATGGGAACGTGTGCTCCTGTTGTCTTCCTGCTGTGTGGACGGTGCAAAAACAAGGTTAAAGATACATGGACTCCAGCTATGTAATTAACATAGCTGGAATTGAGTACAGTAAGTTAACTTTCCCCTTTAGTATAGACCTGGCCCTGCTGTGTTAGTAACCCCTCCCAATTTAGTGTTCTATGAGAATTTCATGTGGCATTAACCCTATCTTTTAAAGCATTACCAAAGATAAAGTGCTACAAGACTGGGAGGAAAGCCTATTATGCCTAAGGCCTGGAGTCAACACTGCAATTAGCTACAGTGACTGATGGTCAAAAAGCTGCATTTCCTGTTCCCAGGATGGCAAAATGAGAGTTCCATCTTAAGTTGTAATGATTTATTCCTTG